TATATATATATATATATATATATATATATATATATATATATATATATATATATATATATATATATGATATTTAAAAAACATGTTATGTATTATACAAAACATATATTATTTAAATAATAAAGTTCATATAAAGTATATTAATGTTTATTTTTGTTTTTATAATTATTATTCATAAACATAATATTAACTTCATTACTATAACTTATCGTGCCTAACTGTGTGTAGTAGTGATGGGCCAAAATTCTGTTTCGGTACCGTGTTTTAATGTTGCGTAAATAGTTCCGCAATTCGATTGCGCAACTATTTACGCAACATTAAAACGAGGCCAGTAAGGGCAAAAATGTAAACAAATAACGACAAATCGCTTAAATAATCCTTCTAAGTTACCAATTTTCTGTTTATCTATTTAAAAAAATTATTAAAAAAAAAAAAAGAAAACTGACCTTTTGGTAAAGCAGTTTACAGAAGACAATAAAAAATTCTCAAATGCCAATGACATGTTAAATCATATCAAATTGTTGAAACTGGATTATAAGATCAACCATGCATTGCTTGTTTGGGTGCAAGTCCATATGGACTTGTGAATAAACTCTAGGAATAGCACATTTCATATATTTTTACAGTTTTATAAGAGGATCTGAAAAGTAAATTTGGCACATTCTGCATGAATTCGTAAAGTTGCTATTGTTTGACTTTCTGCGTAATAGTTGATTTCTTCCATATAAAAAGGTTGGAATATTAGGTTTTTTACCAAAAGATTAAAACAAAATCTCTAGCAGCCATTACAGAATCTCTACTCTAAATAAATAGCTCTCTTTTCAAATTTCCTTTTGGCTTAACTATTTCAATATCAGAAATAGAAGAAACAAGTAGTTCACAAACAAAATTTTATTGCACCAAAAAAACAATCCCAACCTTATCCTTTAAAGATAAAATGGTGCTTATAATGGGAAAAGAAACTATTTTGAATCTTTTGTAAGGCTTAAATTTCTTTGACAAACCAACTCAAAACAGTCAATAAAAAATTTTGTTTTAGGATAAGTCTCTTTCAAACATTAGAAAATGTTAAGTTTTAGGTGATTTAAGTTGGACCAAAATAGTATTGCACCGAGTTTATTAAGGTGTATTAAATTTGACCATATAATAAAATCTTAACACAGTTGATTTTAGTGTCTTAAATAACCAGGAAGTAAAGTTTAAATAAAAAATCTAAGCCATGTTAATAACATAAATGGTTGGTCAATCGATGTTTCACCTATAACCAAATTTGTAAAATATGAAGGAAATGTAAACAATTCTTTAGATAACCTTTCCTCAGAATAATGTTTTGGATAATATTACTTCATACTTATACGATCATTTCTAGGATTTGAATATTCAAATAAAACGCCGAATATATCTTTTCTCATGCCAGTGAACGAGCTAAAACATTTATCAACTTTTTTGTAGCAAAATATATTATTTTTTATTGCTCGTTGATTATTTTTAAAGGGATCCCTAAGTGCTCCTAACATATGATCTCATATGAAAAAGCATAAAAAAAAAATATGTAAGTTTTTTTTCTTTTTCACTAAATTGTAATAATAAATGCATGCTAACAAAAAGCAATTGCCGAAATCACTGAAAAACAACTCCATTTTGATTTTATTTTTTCACCATTGAAACTCGATTGTTAGTCGTTAAAAATCACGTTAGTACGTCACAACAACTTTAAAATATCTACTTCGATTTTCAAGTAAAAAAAAGTCGTGATTAAATAGTTAAGTTTTAATCAAGTTTTTTTAATTAGTTTTGCAAAAACAGTATAATATCATTCGGTTGAAAGACGTCGTTAAAAAAAAGTTATTAAGTAATAGTTTTTAATATTTTAGAACTTATAAAAAAGTCTTACAGGGCTCGTATTAAGCGTATCGCGATCGCGATTGCTTTTCACACTTTTGTGATTAGTTTTTTCTTAAAAAAAATCTTTTCGCGATTTTTTTTTTTTTTTGGTTGTTTAATTACTTTTTTTCTAGCTTAGCATTTTTTTTAGCAATCCTTAAAAGTAATGTTTTTATCATAAAGAACGTCACACAAAATTTATTATTCTGAATAGATGGATTTGCTCTTTCGCGCGGAGATTTTCTTTCAACGTTAAACATTTTTGAATTTAAATTACTTTAAATCTCTGCGTGGAAAATTTTTACAAGGTCGTTAAAGCGAAAAGTTCGTTTTTATCTTTGTTTATCAAAACTTCATGTTTAAAATAAGGCTTACAAACGTTAGAGCAAAAAAAAATACAGACTTTTATTTGCATTTTTATACTGTTTGAAAAAAAAAACTAATAAAAAAGAATTAATTGTTATTATTATTAATTCTAATAATTATTAATTAATATATTATTAGTTAATTCTTTTTTATTATTATTTTTTTTCAAACAGTATAAAAATGCTAATAAAAACCAGCAATTTTTTTTACTTTAGCCTTATTTTAAACGTGAAGTATATTTCGATTTATTTAACCAAATTTTTTTGTTTCATCTTTTATTGGAAAACTTGAAATAGAAAAATTGAAAAAAACATCAACCATTTAAATGAAAAACTTAATTATATTTAAACTTTTATTAGTCCTTTATTCAAGAAACAATAAATTATAAAAAACGTGGTATATAATTTTTTATTAAGTTTTTGACGATGTTTTTTGATTTATTGACGATAATTCTCCCCCCCCATTCACGCACATCGGCGCGACCTATAAGAGAGAGAGAGAGAGAAGGGGGGGGGGGAGAGAGCAAAAAAAAAAATTTTTATCGCGATTAGATTTTTTTTTGCGTTAATTCGAGCCCTGTCTTAGTTTAATTTCTAATAAAATGTCTATTCAACCTTATTAATTTGAACCAAAAAAAATATAGCAAAATTAACATAAATGTTAATTTAAGTAAAACATTTTACAATAATTATTTTTTTTATCAAGCAAAAATGAGAGTAACCGTCACTTTTGAAACCATAAAAATGACTGAAATAAATTTATTTTTGTACTAAGGAAATATTTTAAATAAACTTTTATGTGTCTAAATCAATATTTATTTGTTAAAAAGAGTTTAAAATTTGACTTCTATTCATTTTTGGCCGTGGAATTGCCCTTATAACACAAATATATAAATTAAAATTATAAAAAAAATTTTAATATACAAATATATTTTCACAAAATGCTACAAAACTTATTCTTGTAAGTAATTGTGTTAGTTGAAAAAAAAACGACTTAACTTTTAAATTTAATTACCAACTAATAAGTTTGCAATAATGACATTTTGTCTACTTTGTTTATTTTGACGTACAAACGTTAGTTTTTTGAGGCAGTAGAGTCGACAAGACGCATTTTTTTTTAATCGAAGAAAAGCGTTTTTTTGAAAATTAAATTTGTTAGTGTGTGTTCATTATTACGTTTTAGAAAAAATAATATACATCAAACATTTTTTTTTAATGCTCTTTCATATGAGATCATATCTTTATAGCACTTAGGGATCCCTTTAAACTTTTATATTCCTCAAGTACATTACATTACATTTACGCTAATTACGCTAATTACGCTAATTAATTACGCTAATTACGCTAATTACGCTACATTAGTTTTCATAAAATACTATTAATCTTTTTTAAATGAACATTTTTATAAAGTTTTTTATTGCTTAACCTAGTCATGAACTCTGGTTCTGACATTTTACACGGAGATTTTTAAAGTAATTTTTCTTGTGTTGTCTTAAATAAATACCAGCTTTGAACTTTATTTTTTTTTTAAAAGATTTTTTAATGCAACAAGAACTAATTTTTATCTTCTAAGGCCTAAAGTGAAAATCATACACTTTAGTATTTATATACTTTAGTCTGTTTTATTATTTCAAAATTATTAGCACCTCCTTTACGTCTATATAAAAATATTTTGTTACACCAAGCTTTGTGAACGTTGTGTTTTTTTTTCTTGGTTCGAGAAAGAAAATAGACCAATATTATTTTTTTCTACATTACTATTATAAAATGAATTTCCTCACAATGATATACAATAATACTTCTCTCATCCACCTTTTTTCAATATTGGTCTGATAATTAGAATAGGACATTTTTATTTAATACGAATTTCGTTTGTTCACATTTTTGTCCTTATTGGCCTTTTTTTGAAGCCAAGAAATCAGTTAAGCAATCGAATTAGAGAAATGTCTATTTTACTATTGAACTAACAAATCCCTTACCTCATCCTCCTTAAAGCGTTACTTGATTTATGGAAAAGTGGTAAGACAAAAAGAAATTGTCAAAACAAAAAAAATTTAAATAAACAAATTTGAAATTGCATTTTTAGATTAGATTTGTTAAATTTGTTTGGTTTTGCCAAATTTTCGGTTTTAGTTTCGGTGATTGAATACCCGAAACTTCGGTCAATTTCGGCTATGACGTATTTCTTGTTGTAGTCTATTACTAGTATCCACTAGTATATTTGATTTAATATAGCTAAAATATACACTGGTATAATGGACTTAATATAGGTAAAACTCAAATTACAAAACAAAGATTAGATTTAAAAAGTAAAATTTTTTTAAATCTTTTTTTAAATTGTGATAAAACTTAACATAATAGAAAATTAATATTTTTATTTAAATTTGTTAAAGTGTATAAAGTATTAAAAAAATTTGTTAAAGTCAAAATATTTTTTTTATGTAATAGAAAAAAAAGGACCAGTGACAGATACAAGAATTGGTGGGGGATGTTAAAATATTTTTATATTTTGTACCACTTTTGTGTCTTTTAAAAAAATAAACAAAGCCCTCAATTTCTAAGACATTTTAGGAGTTTTAGATTCTGGTGAGGATGGGGTGGGGGAAGAAAATGTATACCCCATCCACCCTCCCCTCCCTTCCAAGATTCATCACTGTCTATGACTACTTAAAAGTTAAAATAAAAAACAAACAAATATATAGTAATTTTATTTTGTTCTGCATATATGGTTTTAAAAATAAATTGTATTTTTAGAATCATGGAGCAGTTGGAGTAATTGGTCAACATGTAGCAATACAACTGGTTTTGGTCAAAAAAATAGAACACGCTATTGTAAAAATAAAACTTCTATAGAAAAATGTGTGGGTAATAATAGAGAAGAAAGAAATTGCTCCAAAGCATTATCTCAAGGTTATAGATTATATTATTATATATTAAATTATACTGATTTATAATACTACATGCTTGCGTTTATAAATGTTACCGTAAAAGGGAGTGACTTTGACCCAACTTTAAAACGCGTTTTAACTAGTTCTAAATAGTACAAAAAAAATTCTAAAGTTGCATCAAACTAAAACACTTTCTAAAGTTTAAAAAATATTGATTAATTTTATTAAATCGAACCATATTTTTCAGTAAAACCAAAGACTTCACCTCCCCTTAGGTACCTGTTATGAAAATGTTTCTCCATATTACGGTGTCGTTAACAGCTTTATTAGTGGAAGATTAATCAAAAAAGTTGTTAGAAAAATCTGTTTTAGAAATATGCTGCAAATATTCATAATATTTTAAAATTTGTTTCTTGATATTATGAAAATATTATGTGTTGAAAATTTAGATGATCTAATTTTATGGAATGTTACATTCGATCAAACTGTTGAACGGTAAGGTAAATATTTTTTCTTTTCTGTTTTTGTGTTAAGTAAAAGGTTTTATATAATCCTAAAGGGTTTTGTAACAAAAAAAAAAACAACAACAAAAAAAAAATCAGATTGAAAACTCATAAATGAATTAAAAACAGTTTTTATTTACCAATTTTTGTTTTAAATGTCTAAAGAACTTAGAAGACTAATTCATAAAGGTAATTATAGAATTTTTTGAATATAGAATTTTTTGACTAGCAAAATCAAATTAAAAAGTTTATAAAAAAGAATGACAGCATCAAAAACGCCAATATTATTTAATGCATATAGAAGCGGTTACCAAGATTCGTTCTGTATTTTAAAAGTTCATCTAACCATTATTCATTTATCGAATAGTCAACGTGTTTGGTATTGTTTACCTTCATTTTGTTTTCTTGTTGTTTTTATTTTGTCTGTTAAGATACAAAAGACAAAATTATTTTAACCAATATCAAAAAACTACTATAGCCATAAAATTTTTACTGAAAACAACATCAATAAATACGATTATCTTTAACACAGTATTAATTCAAGATTTTCTACACAACATTAAGGGATATATGAATCGCTAACTTGAAAAAAGGACATGTCCTGCAAAAATTAAAATAACATGTCCCTTTTTTCAAGTTTCAATATGCGGCCGTGGCGCAGTGGTTAGAGCGCTTGCTTTATAAGCAGGAGATCCATGTTCGAAACAAGCTTTGGGCATATTTCGCGTGACGGTAAGGAATGAGGCGTGAACTTCCTGGTTAAATGCACTTCCGCGGTGCTCTTTGACAAGACCGTAAGGACTTCTTGGGGCACCTAAATAACAAAAAAAAAAAAAAGTTAGCGATTCATATAATGAAACGTCAGGTCTAATATACTTAATGCTATTTTCCTTAAACTTAAATTATAGAGAAAAGGCCAACTGTTAAAATCCTAATTAATTGCTATGATGAAGTACTCACAAATGGGTAGACAAGTTCCGGAGGACCACTCAGTCTATGAGAGGTTGAGAGGCACCGAGTTTTTTGTACTCTTGCTGCTTTTATTGTGTTTTTCGGACCACAGCAAGACTAGCGAAGTATATGAATGCAACAATACATGAATGAATTGAAACAAATAATTTTTCATGGCATTTTTAGTCAACTTTTTTTCAGAATACGTTGCCATTTTCTACTGAATAATATGGGTACTGAAAGTGATATTACCATTACCGATCAAGTCTTGATAGCTATGCAATGGGTATGCATCGGGGGCAAAAACGTAATAATAAAGGAGACCATCTTTCAGATTTTAAGTTAAAAAATTAAATTAAGTTTTAGTTTGTGGCAAAAAACTAAATGGATTGGCAATGGCATTTCAAGTTCAAAAGTATGTTGCGAAGATTTTCAACTTTCCACACTCAATGCTTCAGCTAAAAAACATTCACCGAAAGGAACGAGCAGAAAAACTCCAAAAAATATACGCCTTAAATTGGGACCATAATCTGGTATGGGAAACAATTTTTTTCCACCGAGCAGAACTGAACAACCGTGAATCTGTAATTTATACGGTTTTTATATTTGTTTTATCGAATATGCTCTTTTTATAGCAGAACTGGGAACGGCTTGCATAAATTTTTTTTAGTGTTTTGTGCAGAACCCAGTTTCTAAAAGTTAAATTCGATAAAGTGTTACGTACCTTCGTCAATTGCCCAAATATGTTTAGGCAGTCTGATATTAATCAGCATCGAAAATATAGCAATCTGTGAATTATATTTAGAGAAACTAGTGGATCAGTTTTTAGCTATTAATTAATTGAAGCTACAATACAAATAGCTATTAAGATACTGTTTGTATTAGTACAATAAATTAAATTATAAAATGTGTGAACTGCGTTACATTTATGTCACTCTATATATTTTCTGCTCAAGCATACGTAATCACGTGAGCTTGTTTCTCTCTATAAAGATTAATTATTGTTTCACTTCATTTGTTAGAAACTAATTTATTTTTAAAAGCTATTGTATGAAACTAAACCCTTCTTTTATTCCTGATGAGTAAGAATACTTTTGGATAAAAAGTTGATTTTAATCATCAATGGCTAAAGAAAATAGTTATGACCAGTTTGAATTAATTTTTTTTTTGTGACATAAAACCAATTTCATTAAATTAAAATATAATGACATTTTTATTGGATAGATCTTGGTAGTTGTGTAAAAATATCATAAGAATTTTTTCAAACTATTAATAAATAATTTGACGCACAACTGTTTTATCAAGGAAATCAAAACGGGCAAACTTTAAAAGAATGTATATATAAGTTTTCTATATTGTTTTTTGCAATATATTAATAAATAAGTGTGTGTATGTGTGTCTGTGTATGTTTACGCTGAAATAAAATGTTGTTTTATTTTTAAACAGAAGTCTGCTTTCAAGTGTGCTTGAACTAAACTTTCCTGAAGTCACAAGTGACGCTGGTTATTATACAATAGAGTACTTTTTACCACCTTACTTTACATTGACATTTGATAATCCTCCAAATGGCTTTATAAAGGATGACCTTGCTCGTTTAAAATATAAGGTATTTTGTAAATTATATATTATGTTTTAAAACTTTTTGAATGCTAAAATGCGCATTTACACTTTTAATTATATAAGTAATATATTTATTATACGTTTTTTATTGTAATAGTATGTCAAAAAAATTTCGCCAAAAGAAAGCGTTATTCATAGTTTCGTGGCAACGTTCAACAAACTAGATTGCTCATTAACAAAGTTTAAGATGGTTATCCCAATAAAATTTACTTTTCAAAATTCAGAAAAAAAGGTTTTGAGCTTGATGAAAAAGTACCAAAAAAATGTGTTATGTAAAACAAATTACCGATCGGAAGTTTCTAGAGATAAAAACGCTCTATCAGGTGAGTACGATATTTTAACAGTTATACAGTGTACAATTGCATATTTAAGAACAGAAAAAAAAAATGTAGTTGATACTCTTATTTTGGTATTATTATTTAAACAGCAGTAGCGCAGAGGTAAATGCGCTTGCTTTTGATGAATCTAGGGTTTGATGCGAGCTGTGAGCATATTTCGCACCATCAGTAAGGTGGGCATCTAAAATAAAAATCACACACACACACACATATATACACACACACACACACACACACACAAACACACTCAAACACACACACACATATATATATATATATATATATATATATATATATATATATATATATATATATATATATATATATATATATATATATTATTGTGATTGTAGTTGTTATTGTTGTTGTTATGTTGTTTTTTTGTCGTTGCAAATAAAATTTATATCATTTATCTGACTTTAAAAAATTTAACTAAAAATAATTTTTTTGCAGAATCATATGGTAGAGGAATATATTGGGATAATAAAAGCTCTATTATTTATGTATGTATGAACCAACACGTGAGCAGGTATAAATATTTCTTTCTTCTAAATAAAACCAGAATAGTAGCAGTTATAGTAGTGCATCAAAATTTGCTACTTAAACTTCGTCTGACCAGCCGTAACACATTGGATAAAACAATGGCCTTAAAAGTCAGAGGATTGATACCTGCTCTGGCTATACAAAAAAAACATTGATTAGGAAATCTGCTTTAAATTCTTTTTTTAAATTGTCTTTTGTTTAGGTTTGTGTGAAGATCGTTAGATCCTAAAAAACTTTGATAAACTAATAAAAAATTGGATTTCTTGTATAAATTACCTAGTTTTTTTAGTCAATTAACCTGAAAACTTTTATCCATATTTCATCCATTGTTAATTGTTTCAACTGATTTCATATAATTTAAGATTTCACTTCAATTCATTCTGAATATTACATAATACATATTTATACATATATATTTATACATATTTATACATATTTATAAGTGTATAAATATGTATATTTACATTATACATATTTATACACTTCATGTGCTTTTAACTCCACGCAACCGTTTATCTAGTAGGGGAGAGTTGCCTTAATTGGAACACTTAAGGAATAAATATTTATTAACCAAAAATGGCTTAACTATTAACATTTATGATTTGAATAATACAAACAGACATCCTTAATATAATTTTAACCACAATTTGACTTAATTGATTGCATTGTTATTAGAAATAAATTTGTTTTTGCAAAGGTACCACTTTGTTCTAATCAAGGCAACTGGTTCCCTAAATTGGAACACTTTGATTTACTTTGTTTCTTTGAATCAGAACAGCTTAAGTTTTTTTAAAAAAAAACAACCAGTAAAACCAAAAAAATTTGATTAAAAATGATTTTTATCTTTACAGTAAAAATTTAAAATGTTAATTTAAAAATTATTATAGGATTACTGTTATCCTGACAAAATTAAAGTCTACAAACAAAAATTTGTATAAAAGCTTCAACTGTTATGAAGTTCTCTTAATTTATTGATTAAAAATCTGTAATTAAAGTATTATTTTTATGGTTTATGGTTGTTACTAAGTATTTTTTAATTGCACACAAACTATTTTTACAACCCTTTGAATTTATTACTGATTAGGTAAGGAAAACTTTAATATTCCGATCAAGGAAACCTTTGATTATTTTGTTATATTACTGCAATAACATGCTTGTAGCAACTTATAAAATAAGTTTATATTTTTGTTTTGAATTTTAAACCGCATTGAAATAAATACAAAAAATTGTATAACCTATAGCACCATAATTTACCAAGGGCAACCAATATAGTGTGAACGCAAAATTAGATCACTGAAAAAAAATGACGCAAAAAAACTTTAAATCAATGTTGCAAATTCATTTTTTGAGGAATAACTTTCAAAATGTGTCAAAACGTAAAAAATAATGCTTTTTACAAAAAAAAAAAAGCAAATTATAGCCATAATTCATTTTTTTTTCAAAAATAAATGCAAGTGTTCTAATTTAGGCGCTGTTTCAATTTCTGCAACTCTCCCCTACTATGTCACAAGTTACTATGTTTTATTTGCCAAATTTAATTATTACCAGGTTTGTGTATGTGCCACTGGGATAAATATACATATGTAATATAATAGTGTACAATACTTTTGTAACGCTAGAAGATAGCAGTTCAACATAAAGTATGTTTTGAAACGGGTCAAATAAAGTAATAAGTAGTAAGTGTCTAGACATTTAAATTTAATTAAAAAGTACAAAATATTTATAAAGTTGTTCTCTATAAAAACGCAGTTTTTAGCATATTAAAGATTGCAGTATGTTCAGAATAAAAGGAAAAATTTCTACGACACTGTCATCAAATGAAACTTTACGAGTCTTTTTACTGACATCTTTACGCGCATTTACACGCGCAAAATTTTTTACAAAGCAAACTAACATCGTTTCTCACTTGTTTAGGTAAATTTTTTTAGCATTTATAACTTTGTTAAATATTTACCCAGAAGGCCCAATGACGTTGAAATAACGTTGAAACAACGTCGCAAACCGACCATATGCCACGTTGAAACAACGTTGAAATTTGGTTGAATTGGAAATAAAATCCGACATAACTATTACACTTAACTTACAAGTAAATACCTAATGTTTGTTCCTTTAAACTTCTCTTTACCTTTACCGCCAGCCATATTAAATTTTGATTATAAACCATTAATCAACAACCTGCATTATACATTGTTATTATTATTATAGTAACATTAAAAATTAATAAACATGTCTTTTACAAAATACAAACTATTCTTAATAAAAAATTGCACAAAGGTTTCTTACCAAAGCTTTCTCACCAAACGCAAAAGGTTTCTTACCAAACCGTAATGCAAGTAAGAAAAAGAATTGATACAGGGGAAGAGTTTGGTCCTTGGAGACGCAAGAAAACACCAAGAGCGGACAGTATAACCAGAAATATCTGCCTGGAAAACAGAAAAAAAGCCACTAAACTTATTGACTAAGCTTATCCATGAAGCTGTAATTGTTGTGTCAGACTGGACCATTTGTAGAAGGCAAAAAGAAGAGGGATTAATATCCAGCCAAAAATGTCAAAAAATGACAAAAAAATTCAAAAATATTAAAACAAATGTAAAAAATCTTATACTTTTGAAAGATGGTGCAACTTGCTACACAATAAAAACCCTTAGAAACATTTGCAAAATAGTAAAGCAAGAGGTTGGAAAAAAAAATCTTACTAATAAGCAAGATTTTATGGAAGAGATTATCAAGATCTGGCACAATAACCCAGAGTTGACAGAAACTATAAAAAAATAAATTGCAAGCATGCCACAATGCGTTGAAGCAGTTATTGCAAATAAAAGTACTTTTGAAAAATATTTATACTTTATATATACTTTATATAATTTATCATAATAATCAATAAATATTCAAAATGTTCAATTTTATTTGTTTATTTTTATCAAATACAACTTTATAAATAAAAGAAAAAACTTTAAATTGTACCATTATTATATATATATATATATATATATATATATATATATATATATATATATATATATATATATATATATATATATATATATATATAATTATATATATATATATATATATATATATATATATATATATATATATATATATATATATATATATATATATATATATATATATATATATATATATATATATATATATATATATATATATATATATATATATATAACATATAACATTTAATGAAAAAATTTGTTTAAATTCTACTTTAAACAAATAAGCCAATTCTATATATATATATATATATATATATATATATATATATATATATATATATATATATATATATATATATATATATATAAATATATATATATATATATATATATATATATATATATATATATATATATATATATATATATATATATATATATTAGGGGTAGTCATTTTGAGGGAATTTTTGAAATCGAAGTGCATACCCAGCTAAAGTTGGAGCAAAAATGCTAAAACTTTGTCAAAATTTTTTTTAGGTCAATCGAGTGACTTTTAAGTCCCCCTCAAGACTAAAGTTGTTAAGAAATTGAACTTGATTAAAGGAAAAATTGGGTGTGTTCAGAGTGTTTGAGGGGGATTTAAATGAAAAAATTATTTCAATTTTTTTTTTTTTTTTTGTTATTTGTTATCTATATTTCCATTTTAAAAGGGTATGTCATCATGTTTTTTACATATTCTTGGTTAAAACGATATTTACGAAAGGAAAAAATAAAAATTTTATGTTACGCAAGAGGTTATGAAAATCGGCAACGATAAAAAAATTCTTATAAAATAATGCAGAAGAAAATGTGCTGAAGATCCTGCACTGTATTTTTAAGTCATTAAGAGTTTTTATAAAGAAATTGTACGTAAAATTGCGTTACATTATTTTATTTTTGTAAATAACTTTCGTATTTACTTGATTGTTATTAATTGAATTACAATATAAAGTAAAATTGTATTGAAGTTTTTAATTAATTACAGACCATTAAATATATTTAGATTGAATACAAAAATGGAAAAAAAAATTGTAAAAGATATTGGGAAGAGGAAGTTTCTCAGATCAAGCAAAAACAAACTTTTTATCATAAATGAGGCTAAACCAGCTATTACATGTACATATCTAATTTAAAAAAATTGTTTTGAATTTTAAATTTTTTGTTAAAAATTAAAATATTGATTTTTTTTTTCTTAAGGTCTTCAACTCCCTACTGGAATGGATGTTCTTCAACACATTGTCTACAGAAGATCACTACTTCCTCATAATGTTAAGAAGTCAGCAATTTTATCATGCCCTCCTTACAAGATTCTGGGTTACAAGAGATGTGAAGTAGATGATTGTGAATGCATTTTAGGCTTAATTAAAAGACCATGGCTTAAAGCGGGATTTCAAGTAATGTCAGATAAAAGTATTATCAAGAACCTTATGAAGATGGACAAGACGTATTCAGATTTGAGTAGAAATAAATGCAGAGGAACAGCTAGAAACAAGGTTAATCAAGGGGAGTTTATTTCATTTTTGAAAAGGCTGTTTTGGATTGGTTCTACAGATTTAAAGAACCAAATTAGGATGGATAAAAAACGCTCAGATAAAGATAAGCACCATGATTTAACTTTTTTGGAAGACCAGGAAGGACCGAGATATTTTAGTTTGGGATCAGAAGATAGAAAATTTAGCAAAAAGGTTTTGTGTTGTTTTTATTGGGTTAATTTGATGTTTTTTATTCAAATTTGCTAATTTAACATACATTATTTGTTAATACACATAAACTATGTTAAAACAAATTTTAGGTTTCTGACTAACTAAAAAAAACTATGTTGAAACTAAATTTTAGGTGTGAGGAAGAGGACAAGGCTAGAAGACGAATCTCCTAAGATTGATGCTACCTCAGAATTAGACTTTCACTGACACTAGCGCTGATTCTGATTCAGAATTTGAACCCAAAGGGTGGCATCATAGAAGAGCAGATGATTGCAACATTACTGCCAAAGTCCCTAAGAATATTTTTGATGGAAATGTATCTATCATAGTTACAGCAAATGATATCTTCCCCAATGTCTTACAAAAAGTAACTGAAGCAATTCTTCAAGATTGTGGAGTTGATATCGCAAAATGCAAAGCCAGTGCTTCAACAGCATTAAGGAAGATGAAAAAAACTGCTAAGGATACTGCAGAAATTGCTAAATTAGATATAAAGAAGGCCGTGGAAAAAAGCCGTTATCCCTGTATAATTCATTTTGACGGAAAGACTTTGTTTGAAATAAATCAGGGAAAAAGACTGAAGAATGAAAGATTAGCTGTGCTCGTTAATATTGAGGGGGTGTCGCATCTTCTTGGAGTACCTGCCTTGCCGTCTTCTTCAGGTGAAAATATGTATATAGGAATCATGAAAATACTAGAAGAATATGACCTCATTTCAAAAGTATGCGGAGTATGCTTTGTTACAACTTCAAGTAATACTGGTTCTAAGAAAGGATCACTTACTAGGATTGCAAGAGAGGTTGACAAATACCTTCTTCTACTAGCATGTAGGCATCATATCATTGAGCTTAGAATGGTTCATTTCTGTGAAGCAGTGATAAAAGAGAATAGCGTAGGGCCTGAAAATCCTTTATTCGTAAAGTTTAAACATATGTTTGAGAACCCTAACTTCAAATACGACGAAAATAACGTGACCTCTCTTGATTGGAAAACCGTGGAAGGAACAGTTTTGAAGGAAGCTGCAAGGTAAAACTTTAGATTACTGTGAGACCTATATTACTAAAAAATGCAATATGAGGAATGACCGAAGAGAGTTGGCTGAGCTAACCATGCAGTATTTATCCCCTTCTGCACATTTCAAATTAAAGAAAACTAGAGCTGTTCATCATGCTAGGTTTTTAGACAAGAGTTTATACTACCTTAAACTTTAGCTTTTGTGCAAGCAACTGACATTTGTGCAAGAAAATGATAATCTACGCGAAGATTTAAAACTCATCTGCGAGTTCATAGTATGTTTTTACATAAGGTGGTACCTTCAAGCACATAAAGCAATTCAATCTCCTGCGTCTGATCTTGATGCAATCTTTCAGATGAAAGAGTATAAGAAAGTTTGCCCTAATCCGGAGGCAGTAGACGCAGTGTTAGCATCTCTTTATAAGCATACATGGTATCTTGATTCAACGATTATTCCCTTGGCTCTTTTGGATAAAAATATTTCTATGGATAAAAAAACAGCCATTGCAGATGCTTTGCTTTCCTTCCAAATGCCAGATGCAGATTTTTTTAAACATAGAAGCAAAGATCGAATAAACGAGATTAATATCATAAATAATATGAAGGTACCAACCCTCTCTCTTTTGGTTAATGAGTTTTCATATTTAATTTTTTCAATGATAGAGTTGGATAATCAGAGAGTGAGAGACTGGTTGTCACTTCCACCCCAATATTGGCACACCCAGTCCTCGTTTAAGAATTTAGAAAACTTTGCCAAAATCTTAATTGTTGTCAATGATCATTCTGAACGAGCAATCGGAATGATGCAGCAGCTTGTAAAAAGATTCGAAAATGAGGATGACAAGCAGAACAGACTTTTAACTGTCGACAAAGTAAGGTCAACTTTCAAGGTTTTTGGTGTGGGAAAAAGTAATAATACAAAAAAAAAACTATCAGAAAGCCTGATGTCACTCTCTAAAATAAAGAAAAGGAAAATGTAGACTTAGGAAATTGTTATTCATTTTAAAATACTTATTTCAATTAATGCATAATTTTTGTCTTGATAGTATTTGTAAAGATTTTAATTAAATGGTAAATTACTTGTTTAGTTCAAAATAGTTTGTTTTTTTGGTTGATTTAAGCGGGAATTTTTACGTCTGTTCATCTGAATGAACTTTAAGTATGAAAATACATAATTTACTGATTTCATAACCACTTGCGTAAATTAAACTTTTCATTTTTTGATTTCTTAAATATCGTTTTAACCAAGAATATGTAAAAAACATGATGACATTAAAAAACCTATCTATATTTTCATTTTAAATGACCTTTTAAAATGAAAATATAGATATCAAACAACAAAAAAAAAAAAAAAAATGGAAATAATTTTTTCATTTAAATCCCCCTCAAACACCCTGAACACACCCTATTTTTCCTTTTTTGAAGTACAATTTCTTAACAACTTTATTCTTGAGGGGGACTTAAAAGTCACCCGATTGACCTAAAAAAAAATTTTGACAAAGTTTTAGCATATTTGCTCCAACTTTAGCTGGGTATGTACTTCGATTTCAAAAATTCCCTAAAAATGACTACCCCTAATATATATATATATATATATATATATATATATATATATATATATATATATATATATATATATATATATATATATATATATATATATATATATATATATATATATATATATATATATATATATATTGGAAATTGAATAAGTGTCTTCCTTTATTATTTGCATACTAAAATTAGTTGAACTCAAAGATGAAAGTAATAAGATGCTGCTGCAAATGCAAGTTTATAAACAGACAAAAAACATTTAAAAATATATATATATATTTTTTTGATATATAAAAATCCGTCTATGATAGGCCTGAGAGAATACGATTGTTGATCTTGATCCTTTGAAGCTTGCGTTGTTGCCGTTCTTTCAACCTATTAAAGTTGAGAATAAAATGTCATATTTGAATGCTGCTTTTCTGATTAATTATGTTTTTTTTTATATCGCCAAACACGACTTTTATACCTTCTTCATTGTGCAACTTGTTGAAATTTTGTTCAATAAGTAAAAAGTCGAAAGTGAAAAGTAATAAATATTATTTAATCAATTTTGTTTACTTAACAACTTTATGCAGGAAGAAACAAGAACTAACACAAAAGAAAATCCAGTCATCTACTTTACATCTCAGCTAGTAAACATACGTTGATAAAACGTTAGAACAATGTTGCGCATTGCGTTGGCCTAACATCGACCACTAAGTTTGTTTTTATATCATTTTGGTAACAAATTCGACGTCGCTAACAACCAAAAACAAAGTTGACCCGACGTTGTATTTTAAAACGGCATTGCGTAATATTTTACGTTGTATTTTAAGTTGATTCAACGTTATATTTTACGTTTGTACAATGTTAAATTTAACTGTTTTTGGAATTAAATTTATTTGTTTTATATTTTAGTATATATATAAACGCATTAAATATTTTATATTTGTACGCATATATAATTGTATATATGTATTTATACTTACGTAATTCACCCTTTTTAATGGATCAACATTGCTGGTATTGTGGTTTATCCTCCTCCGGCTAGTTCCCATTCACAGAGGCCATATTACCAACGAAAAAGCTAGTTTAGTTCACTTAAAAGCATCAAAACTTATCTCAGACCAAGAGTAACTGATTTTGAGAAAAACGAAGGAATTAGAGTGAAACTCAAAAGAAGTAGAGTGAGGAAAGTTGCATAGATAAAGCGGACAGATATTGCACTAGATGTTAGAGTAACCAAATAATACTACTAATTAGGTTACCTAATTAATGTATTAGTATAAACGTAGTCAACATTGTTGGTATTGTGGTTTATCCTCCTCCATTAATTTGCCATACAGAAGCCGCATTACCAAGGCCTGCAAAGACGAATTCAACTCACTAAAGAGCATCATTACTCTCTTCGCAGATTATGACTAAGTGATTTTGGGAAGAACGATGGATTTATTCAGTGAAATTCAGAATAAATTATCTGAGAAAGATAGCATAAAGAAAGCGGAAAGATATTGCACGAGACGTTAGAATGTGTAATTCATACTATTAGTTAGGTCTTCGTTTATACTCATACATCAGATAGGTATCTGATGTATGAGTATAAACGAAGTCATCATTGCTGATTAAGTTTGTTAGTAATTAATATAAAAACAGCCTGCATCTGATCAAAGACGCATTATTCATAATTGTTTTGATTGTGACTTAATAGTTCTTTATATAAGAAAATATAAAATATTTTTAAAATATATTTTCATAATCAACTAAAATATTCAAATGAAAAATAATTCTTATAAATTAATCAAATATATACTTATACATATGCTTTGTTCTCAATGCAATCACAAAGTTGATACATTGTTTATAATCCAACGTTATTCCAGTGTATATAGAGCAACGTTGGGCCAACGTCGTTTTTTTGGATGTTGGTGACGTCGCATTTGTAATTAAAATGATGTAGAAACAACTTTGGCGGTCGAAGTTCGGCCAACGCAACGCGCATCATTGTTTTATTGTTTTATCAATGTATGTGTGCTAGTTGGGTGGTTCCCGAGTTATGACGATACTAAATAAAAAAAAAAAACAAATACTTAAAACTCTCTATTGAACTTTTATAAAAAATAAATGACTAAAAAATTACTAGATTTTATTTATTTCATATTTGATTAGAGAAGATGATTCTCTTTTTTCTGTTTTTTTTTTTTTTTAAATTCCAATTATCTGCATCATATGGCATGAACTTGTATTTCAGGTGACATAAGTGTTAAAATTTGATCCTTTTTCAGCCGTTTAATAGTAACAGCAGGTTTAACATTATCAAAATTTGTATTTAAATATTGTGATTCAATCAAATTTATGGAGTGTGCTGATTTCAGTCCATTTTCTAAGGATATCTGTAAATCGAAGTTGTACACAAGCGTTTAAACAGACTGTAGTTGCTACTGTTGGTTTGTATCACTTGGTCATAGCTGCAATATAATTTCAAAACTTATTGTTTTTGAAATTATTGCTATTTACATTTTTTGGATAAATAAGCATAATAAAGTGCAGTAAAAGAGACTCGTATAGAAAGGTTTTCTTTTTGAAAAAATTCCATTGTCAAATACAGTATTTCCAATAAAATGTGAAACCAGTTTTTTTTTGCATGAGCATCAACAAAAGATAATGTTTCACTTGTTGTATTCACTACATCATTGGTACAGATGCGGGTAATATAATCCTTTATATGTTGATCAAAAACTGCTTTAAATTCAGACTTAGTTGTAGATGCCGTTCTGAACTTCTTTTTTTTCACTGTGCGTTTAATATGCTTTTTGATTGTATTACAGCTTATTGTAAAAAAACAAAATAATCAAACTCCCATCTTGTAAATCATTAGCTAATGTTCTCAATTTGATTAGGAATAGTAATACCATGCTCTTAAATGCTTTCAGCATTTCTCTCTTGGTAATTTCTTTTATGTTTAAATAGTCTGCTAGTTATTAGTGAATCTCTACGATTGAATTTAAAAAAGCAACGCTTAGTATCTTTGAATATGTTTAAACTGCAAACAAAGTAAAACAAACTTTGAGTTTATGGCATTTTATGACATTTTATATAATTTTATATGGAATTACAAACATTTTTAATACAAAAGTAATTTTTTGACTTCGTATAAAAAGCTACAAATGATTTTGATGCTTGTGGTAAATATTTTGATGCTTGTGGTAAAAAATGTGGAATAAGTTTTAAGGCTTTAATATAAAACTGTAAGGGAGTATAATTGATGGAAAGGAGAAAACAGTTGCTCGTAAAGCAATCAAAAAAAAATTCGAGAACAACCAGCACTTCTACTTTTTTTTTCGCAATTAAAACATGTAAAGACAATTGTTTGTCACGATCCAGCCGTAAACCAAAAACACTTGTGTATTACGGACAGTTGAGGTTTTAAAGTCAAATTTAAATGTTGCATCCGTTTATCAGTGGTTTCACATTCTTAATACAAAGTCATAAAATATATTGAATGGAAATGATGAAAATAATAGAAAATTATAAATTATTTTGAATGGAAATGATGAAAATAATGGAAAGTTATAAATCATTTTGAATGGAAATGATGAAATATGAAATGGAAAGATATATATTATAATATAATACTATATTTCCGTAACGAAGAAACCATTAATGTT